GTATACAAATGTACATTGCATTGCATACAACTGTGTAACGGTTAGGTACACATACATATGTACATCTGTAAGTTGGTAATATTTAGTCAGCTTGCTGAGCTTCTGGTTGCACTTTTCTCTTTTTGCTTTGTTTCGGTACTTTTCCAATTAACGGTTATCGTGCTAGTGAAAGCTGCATTTCTGTCAAGTAACGCAACTACATAAATACATTCATTTTTTTTTTTAACTTTTTCTTTGCCTTGCTTAGACTTTGTACCCATCTGCAAACTTTGCAGAGTAACGTTCAATCAGCACTAAAATCTAATGCAATCTTAAATTTTTGTGTGCGGGCAAATCTTCTTTGCTTCGCATTAAATTCTCATTTCGCTTATTTGACCACATACGAGTAAGTAGAGGAACGGAAGTAAAAAAAAAAAAGATAGTATAATAGCTCATAAAAAGAAGTTTTCTAAATAAATTCCTAACAGAAAGACCAAAAAGCTATGATATCTATACTTTCGAACAAAATTACATAGTCAAACGTATTTTTCTCTTTTTGTTGATGTATTGAATTATAAAAGTGCAATTTTGTACATTTTCAGTGAACTCAGACTAAGCTATAAAACATACCCTTCCCAATCTTTCGGAAACGTGACTATTGCCGATAAACAATTTTTTGAGTACTCAGAAGTCCAGAATGAGTATTTCTTTCGTCATAACTATGATTGTGAGATGAGTCAACTGGACAAACACATTTCGGACTCTCCTGCTTTCATAAATTCTGAGTTGAACTAAATAAAAAAAAAAAATCACATAGAAGTTTATAAATATTACTGTAAGTTAGCTAAAAGGACACAAGAAAACGCCGAAATACGTCAATTTAATTTTGAGCCGTAGATTACGGCCCTGTATACCGTTTTTCTAGATCAGATATTTTCGCAAGATATTTTCATTTTAAATTTTTATTTGAAAAAAAAAACAAAAAAAACTAAATTTAACAGGAAAAATATTTAAAAATAAAAAATTGTATGTAAATTTTTGGATTGGTGTTAGAGCGTATTAATTTACAAAAACATCAAGCTATCAACGACGAAAATTGATTGACAAATACAAGTTGTAGATATAGAAAAGGCAAAGGCAAAAATAAACAAGTAAGAAAGTCTAAGTTTGGGCGGAGCCGAACATTAAATACCCGGCGCAAGTATTAAATATATGTTTCTTCACCTTTCCGAAACCTACCGCTAGATGGTAAGCCGGGGTGTCCTTCAATTTCGAAATATTGCAGTTTAAAGCATTTCTGAAAATTACCGCTATATGAAAAGCGGCTGTAAGTTTAGTCCGATTTCAATAATTTTCAACGCTTTGCTTTCATGTGGCAAGCAAAATAACCACACCGAGTTTGGTACAAATTGGTAGAACGGTTACCGATATACAAAATTGTACCATAAAAGTATTTCTTGGTAAAGAATTTTTGCAAACATGAATTTTGAATAAATTAGCTTCAATATTTACTGATTTATCGAAGATTTTGTATTTCTCTAAATTACCGTTATATGGGATGTGGGCGTGGTTATTGTCCGAATTAAAAGATTTTCGGCCATTTGGTATGGTGTGCGAAGGCCAACAACTGTGCCAAGTTTGGAAGAAATTGGTGCAGCGGTTCCTAAGATATACACATGTAACCATAAGTGGGCGTGGCTACGCCCATTTTCCAAAAATTTATAATATTCTTATTTTTCGTCTAAAAATTGTTGTAAATATCAATTTTGAGTGAGTTATCTTCAGTAGTTACTAAAATATCGCAGTTTTCGTATTTCTGGAAATTACCGTTATATGGGAAGTGGGCGTGGTTACAGTCCGATTTCGCCCATTTTCAATACCAACATACCCTGGATTAAGGGAAACCTACATACCAAATTTCGTTGAGATATCTCAATTTTTGCTCGAGTTATCGTGTACACGGACGGACGGACAGATGGACAGACGGACAGACGGACGGACAGACAGACATGGCTTAATCGATTTCTTTTTTCATCCTGATCATTTATGTATACATTTGTCTATATCTATCTCGATTCGTTTTGCCTGTTACAAACAACCGTTATGTGAACAAAATTAATATACCCTTGTGCACAAGTGCGCTCGGGTATAAAAAATAAAATAAAAAGATTTGTAAAGCTCAAGGCAAAATGTAAATTTAAACACTTTTTTAAGTGAAGCGGAAGATGAAGAAAAGTATAAACACAAAAGTAAAGGCATAGTTAAATATAAAGAAAAAGATCAGGATGAGGATAAAAATAAAGTAAAGATGAAGATAGAGATAGAGATAAAGAAAGAAATATTAAAATAATGGTAATTATAAAGAAAAGCATATAGATGGAGACACAGAGGCCCAGTCTGTGAACTATTTTGGGATCTATACAATAATCGATATTTTTATCGTTTTGTTATCGACATTTTTATCTATATTGTTATCGATTTTGCTATCGACATCTTCGGAAACTATCGATATTTTTAACGATTTTGTTATCGATACTTATTATCGATTTTGTTATTGGGTTCGTTATAGATATTGTTGTAGATTTTATTATCGATCGATATCGAAGATGATATCCATATTTTTGTAGATTTTGTTAACGATTATTTGTCGATTTTGTTATCGATATATTTATCGATTTTCTAATATTTTTTTTTGTTTTGTTATCGATATTTTGTTGGATGTTACTATCGATTTTGTTATCGACAGAGCATAAAGATAAAAATGAAGATAAACGCAAAATTAATAACATACATAAATGTAATTAGAAGGAACAGGAGGGTAGAGGTAGTGATCTATATAGAAAAAAGACAAAAAATATAACCTTCAGCAAAAGTAGATGTATGTATGTAATAGATATGTAACTTCCAGTGTGGCCCAGGCGCACTTACTTTTTTATTGCGGTGCAATAATTCCGTTTTGAAAATTGCATCGGGGCTGCAAATGTCCGATGTATCCTCCTGACTTTCATCTTCACAATCTAGCATCATGGCAAGATTATTGTTTAAACATCGTTGTTTTCCAAAGAATTCTTCATTATCAGCCGTCGATATGTTTAAGTTTGAAAATTTTCAACACAGGAGTAGTCCGAAGCTGAATAATTAATTTTGCACATATAATTAATTGTTTCATATTAAAAGTAGTTAAAATTATAAACCAATATGAACTAAATACACTGGAATTATTTATAAACTAAAGACTATTATAATTGCATACAGCAAAATGTTTTACCGTTTTTTCATAGGAAGACATTCAATACAACGAAATTATCAACCCAAATAAATCAATTAAAAGACCACAACGACTTAAGTTTTCGAAGTTAACCTTTTTGTATGTTGCCTAACTATTGAAATATTAAAATTCCTTTAACAAATTCGCACCTGCCCTGCATTGAAAACAAAAACTCGTAGGGAAAAGCCAACGGCTGTTTCAAATATTTTTCCAACTGCTTTGATTTTAACAGCAAACAAGAAGAAAAAACTAGGACTTGAGGATATACGAGTACATATGTACTATGTATACTAGGGATGTTGCGAATTTTAGACATTCATGGAAGCGAATGCGGATGCGAATCCGGAAGTCAAGTATTTGTAAGAAACAATTAGGTAAATAAAAAAATGGAAAAGTTAGTAATTTTTAATAATAACCGTGTTTTATTTGTCCTGAAATTTAAGCTATTAGCTTATTTTGTATGGAGGACTTACCCAACATAATTATATTGGCTTATGAAAAGCTATCTTGGCTTGTATATTGAACAAGAGGCATTGCCATTCAGCATCAGAAATTTTCTCCTTCAGCCAATCAGAAAGAGGCAAAAACTTACTTTGACACTATTTGTAGTCAAACAGCTGTCAAACTTAGGCTAACATAGGAAATAAGCTAATTTCGTTTTATTTGACCAAAATTTAGCTATTTGCTTGTGATGGTTAAATAAAACATGCCTAATGTTTATTTTATTTAGTACTTGAATTCAAAAATTGGAACATTATATTTAATAAAAAGTATTTAATAAGAAGTGTATCGGGGCTGCAAATGTCGGATATATCCTCCTTACTTTCATCTTCACTTGAAGAATCTAGCATAATGGCGAGATCGTTGATTTAACGCCGCTTAAAAGCTAAACCAGATATGCCAGGTTTTTGTAAAGCATTTTTAAAAGAATTCTTCGTGCTCCTTCCTTTGGCTGTTTCAGAATTTGGGGAACCTGCAACGTCATTTGCGTTTTTCGATTTTAGTCTTTGTAATTCATTTTTAATACTTTGTTCTGCGACTGGTTTGAAAAATTTGTGCCTATAGCGAGCTAAACGGATGGATATGGAAAATAAATTGTTATTTTCCACGAATGAAAATTTTGAACCAAAGTCTGTTTTCAAAGTCGTGGCTGCCAGCCGAATTGGATTAAAATATTGATATTTTCTTATAAAATTTGAATTATTGGAGTCACGGATGATGTGGGTCTCAGATAGTTGCGTAATTCTTACCTATTTAAAAGTCAGACCTATAGCTTTTTAATTATTTCAGCATCGATTCCCTTTATAGGCAGGCGTTGAACATTTCTGCTGGAAATCCCTATTGAAGGTGCTTACTCTTTGACATTAAGCAGCAAAGAAGGGATACGTAGGGGTACAATTTTACCACAGAAATTTTTAGCCAAGGATCCAATGTATATACCTATGAAAAAAAACAAAATTACTGTTTTGTGAAGTTTTTGCTAAAAATAAATTCCCGATTTGTAATGATTAAAGCGAAAATATGTTACATCAAAAGCAAATCACGAAAATTTTATTTAAATTTTTAGTGCACACTTTCTTCTTTTATGTCTAGTAGTTTTTCTAAGATCATAATAAAGAAAGAAACCAATGCAGGTACTTAAAGCACAGAACACAAAAAAAGAAATATTGAAAGCTTTGGAAATAAAATGATTAAAGATACTTTTATCAAAGTTCATAAACGTGACATTTGACCAGTTTTGTTACACAAATACTCCCATGTGCGGCGCCCGGATAACCCGACCGCATCTCCACAGGCAAGACATATTGGCTACAATTTGTCATTTTACGTTTTATCGGTGCACTTGCACAACGCGAATGCGAAATCGAATGCGAATATCAAAATTAAAGTGGAAGCCAATATTCGAAACAAGCGTGGTACATACATACCTACTTTGATACGTATCCATACTAGAGATTCAAATGGCTTATAAGCTTACCAACCAGGATTTGCCCAACTTGCTGAATTACTTTTTCATATACTAGAATGTTATACACATTTATACGAACTACATACATGCATGTTTGTATATGCACATGCACATGCATCCATACGTGCATGAGATTGTCTAACGGCATTTATTTTTCATGAACTTCGAAAGCTTTTTACACTGTAAGCGAGTTATCAAAAATTCATTGCTAAATATTTTTCTATTCAGTTGTATGGAAACACTTTCAGTTCACTATTTGTGGTGCCCTGCTCTGCTTTTGAATGTTTTGCTGCTGGTCAACCACTTAGCTTTTTGGTTGGTCACTCTTGTTGCTAAAGCAAATAATTTACCTTGCTTTTCGGGGGAAAAGAACTTCGGATATGTATTATTTTCTAAGTTTTGTGAATTTCAATGCTTTTTTTTATACACACGTGTGCTTTTAGAAAGCTGGCACAGTTTAGCGGCGTTAAATATTTAATTACTCCTGAAATTAATAAGTAATTTGTTTGTGGTTAGAGACAAGTTAAAATAGTAAGTAGTAATACAAGTAGAATGAATAAAAAAGTTTTCATTTCAAATGCAACCATGCAAACTATATTTATAAGTACATATGTATCTGAACATATTACAAGCTAATAAGTACTATTCTCCGTCTAAGTATTTGAAAGGTACCCGTAGCAGCCTGAATTTTCGGAAAAAAAATTAATAATTTTTTTTAATTGCAAAGTAGCATCTAAATGTTCAACTTTTTAATCAATTCTTTCAAGTGCGAGTTAAAATTGGGAAAAAAATTCGTTGTTTTTTTATACTTTTTTTCTGACTGTATTACGCATTTTTTTTTTCATACAAAATAATTGTCGAATAAACTTTGTATGGAAGGCAATGAATGCCTCAAAAAGTAAAGAAGTGAATAGCCTCATACACCTTTCCAAAACCGGGCGATAAATAAACTAAAGCTGCACACTAGATTATTACAAAGACATTGGAAATAAACTTTGATATTTGGAAAGCTTTATTTTATTAAAGAAAAAAAAAAAACACTCAAGCAAAACTACTTCAATTATTTGCTTGCCATAAATTCACAAAAATCCACTCAAGTGTAAATACTGACAACCATTATAACAGAAGAAGCCCAGTGGTAAGCCCGCAAGTAGTCTATGAAAACACAGAGTACTTATGCACAACTTTTATAGTTACGTACAAACATATGTACACATATATGTACATAACCCTAAATTTAAAAGCAAGCAACTGCATACTTATTTCTTTGCAATACGTATATCCACAAATACAAATCAGCAATGAACGCAACGTTGTCACCAAATGAAATTTATCGGAGGATTTTTTATCATTTACTATAAAATCAACAAAGCGAATGCAATGCAAGTGTGCTTCGGTTTTGCCCACCCTTGGTATATAAGTTGCCACAAAACAAATAACAATTACGTGCTCAGCTGTCTGTTGCACTGCACACAAGAAATGAAGAGGAAGAAGAAGAAGAAAGAGAGGCGAGCAACAAAT